CCCTTTTGCTTCCACTTTTTTCTAAGACACTTTGTTTCCTCCCCCTTATGCTTCCACTTTTTTACAGACAATTTTTCTTCCTCCCTTAGCTTTCCCCTTTACTACAGACACTTTTTCTTCCTCCCCTTATGCTTCCACTTTTACTACAGACACTTTGCCTTTCCCCCTTAGCTTCCACTTTTCTACAGACACTTTTCCTTTCCCCCCTTTTGCTTCCACTTTTTCTCAGACACTTTGCCCTTTTTCCCCCCTTTTCTTCCACTTTTACTAAAAGACACTTTTTCTTCCTCCCTTATGCTTCCACTTTTACAAGACAATTTGCTTCCTCCCTTATGCTTTCCACTTTTACTACAGACACTTTGTTTCCTCTCTTATCTTCCACTTTTACACAGACACTTTGTCTTCCCCTTTTGCTTCACTTTTATACAGACACTTTTAGCTCTCTTGTATAATCTCTAGCTATGAGCTTAGTGTTTTTCAAAAAAAAAAAAAAAAAAGTACTTTCCTCACTTATTAAAAGTGGGGGACGTACCAAAAACTTCTGTGTATAAAATAATTTACAGGGCTCTTCTGGTTTTTGCAGAGGGTTTAATTAAGCTGCTCTTGTGCCTTTATTTACCAATTTCACTGATTTTTTGGGCCCCTAGGGTGATAATATCTCTTTTGAAAAATGACATTTTTGCCTTTCCACTAGTTCTTTCTATGTGTTTTCCCCTTACTTATTTTATATGACAGATGCTCTGGGGTTTGGTGCCCCTCGTTTTGACGGCTAAATTTTGGAAATATAAACTCCCCTTTTTAAAATGAGTTTTAAAATGCGATAAATTTTTTTTGTTATTTTTTCATTTTTGGGGCATATACCAGCTAAGGTTACTGCCTAAATGGAAACACTTCTCTAGGTTTGGGCCTATGCCAACATAATCTTTGACTTCCAAGATGCTGGGTAAAATTCCGGGCTTCTTTGGGAAAGTACTTACCTGACTTACTTTGGGGAAAAAAAAAGATCTTTGATGCGTAAAAAACCGTACTATTTAAGATTAAAAAAGTTGTTTATGCATCCCCAAAAATCCCCTTGGGTTACCCTCATCATTAGGTCAAAAAGTTTTAAAGGCCGGGCTAAAGTATCAGAGCGTGTGTGAGCGTGGGAGATCAGGTGAAACTGAGATAGGTGTTGTAATTTTTTTCCCTGTAAAAGCAGTGTAAAATCATGAAAGGGATTCAGGGGAATGGTTTTGCCTGGCTTTATTTTTGGAGGTGGGAACAACATACCTGTACTTGATGGATGGGAAGGAAGTTTTCAGTTTGGATGCATGCAGTGGCTTTTTTTTTGGTGTTTAATAAATTTTTTACAGTAGACGTTTTTTAGCATGGTAGTTTGTTCCTGAAAATGCAGTGTTAGGGAAAATTGTGCTAAAGAATTTAAAATTTGGGAAATAGGGGTTCATTCCTGGGGCCCCAAAAATCAACAACTTTTATTTTTGCCAACAGATTTACAAAAAAAAAGTGAAATTAATTTTTGTTCATTTCGTGAATTTTACTGCTTTAAGACACAAATAAAAAAAAAAACAGCTTTTTTTACCTTTAAATTTGTTTTTGGGAATGGTGTGTTGGATGATTTGGGAGAGAGATATGGATTTGGGGTGGCCCTCTGGGTGAGGTGGACAGTTGTTGGTTGTCGACGAAGGGTGGTAGAGGTACTAGTACTGAAGTCGATGGTTGTATTGGAGTGTGCATAAATTCTGTAATGGTTCTCTGAGCTGTTTTACCCTGCAATACATTACATAGCTGATGATAAGGCATCATCAACTGGTCTAGACCCTGTTTCGAAGCACTGCTTCTAGATTTGTCAGGGTCCTCTTCAGTGAAAAAGTCTGCAACTTTACCAATAATATGGAACTGCTTACGTAACTGCTGCAATGTTAACTGTTTCTCTTCAGGTTCTTCTTCATCTTCTTCTGCTATGTCCCTCCCTTATATCTGTGCATTGAGCTCTGCTAACATTTCCTCTGGACTCCTGTCTTCATCATCATCATCATCTTCTAAGAGCTCATTCACATCATCTTCATTCATATCTTCAAAACCATCACCTGGTAATCTCCTTGCCAGCTGAACAGTTTCCTGAACCTGACTCTCAGCAAGGGAATACCAGTGAAAGAATTAACTACAGAAGGCCATAACTTTCCCCAGCCTGCATTATAATGTTGATTGAGGCACTTCATTCCATGCACTTCCAGCATAGCTGATAGCATCTGCAATGCTAAATTTATTCCAGAAGCTTGGTACTGCCAAGTTAGAATCAGAGTCCATTGATTCAACTAGTTTTTTCATAACTTTTTTTGTGTAGTTAAACTTGAATGATTTAATAACTCCCCAATCCATGGGTTGTATTAAATATGTTGTATTTGGAGGTAAAAATACAACTTTTACATGTGGGGTCACATCCAGCAAAGCTTGAAGAGAGTCTTGAATGCAAGGTTCTTGCTGTGTAGGTAAAACTTGACTTCAGGAATAAAGTGATGCTTAAACCAGTCAATAAATATTTCGTCTGTCATTGATGCTGGCTATTTGACCTCCAAATTACTGGTAAGTTGTTTTTATCTACACCTTTCAAAACACGAGGATTCTTAGAACGGTAAATAACCATGGGCTTACACTTGAAATCACTTGATGCATTACTGCAAAGGAGCAAGGTGAAGCGGTCCTTTGCTGCCTTGAAGCCCGGTGCACTCTTCTCATGTTGACTGATATAAGTTCGTGTTGGCATTTTTTTCCAAAAAACATTTGTCTCATCAGCATTAAACACTTGATGTGGCTCATAGCCACCCTCAGAAATAATTTCCTGCAATTCAGCAGGAAAATTACTTGCAGCTGTATGATCAGCTGAAGCAGTTTCACCAGAAAGCTTAATATTATGTAACTTATTATGCAACTTAAAGGTGTGGAACCAGCCTGTGCTAAACACACACACTTTTTCAGGCTTTCCTTCCTTATCACACACTGCTTTAAACAACTGTAAGGTCTTTTCCCTAATTAACCCTTTGACTGTCGCAAGCCCCTTTCTGAAACTCATTCTATGCTGCAAAATTTTTGGGAAAAAAAATTATTTTTTCTTATGAAATGATAGAGAATCTTTTCCCAATGGTAATGACACCAAAAGTACCAAATTTGGTCAAAAACTCACGGAATTATGCTCCCGCGAGGTTAGCGGTCTCAGTGACGTGTACGCATCGGCGATTTTACCAACTTTGAGCCCTGTTTTTGGCCAATTCCATTGTTCCAGTTGACCAAACTCATAACTATTTCTTTAGAATTCCATTTTTTATATCAGTTGAGTACAAGAAACCGCCCATTTACCGATTTGAACTACCCAATAAAGTGGTCAGAAATTGGCAATTTGGCCAATTTCATGTAAATTAAAAAAGATGCCAATTTCAAAATAGGGTCCAGAATAAATAATGTAGACATTCTTGGCACTAAAATAACATATCCTCTGTTCATTAGTCACGTCTCTAGGCCCCTCTTATATTACTATTGCTTTCTATTTTGATTTTTTATTCATACAAAAAATACAAAATTTACTGTTATGCAGACTTCTGCATTATTGTAAAAATGGTATGAATAATATCAGTGCACTAGTGAAAGAATATCAGACTCCCCAGTTGATGTGTATTGGACGTGTGGTGTGATTTGCTTACTCCTGAACATTGGTAAAAATCGAACATTTCCGCTAATTTGAGCTCAATTTCAAGGTCGTTTTCTTTGTGAAACTAATCAAAATCATCTCAATTTCTGTAACATGTTTTCCATTTTATCACATGAGACCATGAAAACGAGAATACAATGATAAATACTATACGAAAATACACCTCAAAGTTGGCGTTTTAATCCAAAAAAAACGTTCAGTTTTTTTTTCTCATTGTGCACTGCGTGCTGCAGGATTTTTTTTATGTGGTGCCCACTGACCACACAGACCCATTCTCTCACATGTGGGCCTACCAGCTTTCTCCTGCTTGATTTGAAGCTGCTAGAATTTACGTGTATAAATACGTCCGAAGCAGTGGTGCGTAGGACGTATATATACGACCAAAACAGTCAAAGGGTGAAGAGGAAATTAAGTGGTGCACCTTTCTTTGTCTTTTGTTCAATCCACTCAAGCAACAAATTTTCTGTTTTATTTACTTTTTGGGACCTACGTGTCATTCTTTTCATGAGGTGACATCTTGGGTTATTCATTACACAAGCTCGTATATTCGCCTCGTTCTTTTTAATTATATGAACCGACGCTTCATTAAGGCCATAGGCCCTCACTATATCCACCACACGTGATCCACTCTTAAGCTTGTCTAATATCTCAATTTTCTTTGCAATTCCTAGACTTGAACGCTTAAACCTATTCTTGTCACTTTCAGCAACACTTGTATGCTTACTGGGTGCCTTTATTGCTTGGCAGATTTAACAAATGGCAATGAAATTAAGAAAATATGTATGTATATAAACACAGCTAGGTTCCCGAGTACCTTCGTCCTGCATACATATGAACTGAACTGGAGGCTGAGTGCGTGGTGGGTGTGGGTGTGTGTGGCAGGGGAGATGGCAGTAGGCTTCCCCCATTGACTCAATGATATAACCCACTGCGGGCGACCGCGCGCTCAAAATTTTTTCCCCTCCTGCGAATCATGTTAAATTGATCATACGACGTGTTACATAAAAATGTGTCGCAATTCTTCAGTCGTGTTATACTCAAATCGTGCCAAATAAACTTGTGCTAAATGATGGTCTACTGTACATGTAAACTACATTTTGTATACTGCAGAAAGAAATAAAGTTTGTTTGTATGTGTGTGCACTTGTGGAAAGACAGCTAAAGAGTGAGGATAAATGAGTTTACTGTATTAAGACACTCTACCTTGCTGGATAATTGTTGATGTCTTTAAACAGAAATGCTGCAAGTTAAATGCTGCTGATTTCTTCACTGTAATCAGCTTAATGTAATTTCTGCAGGCCATCTTGTACGTCATTTAGTGGACTGGTTCCTACGCAACGAGAGAGCACGCCGCAGTAAACTGAACTCCCCTCAGGCTCCACCTAGCGAGGATGGTTCTAAACCCCGACTTCGAGCTGCCAACCCCGGCGACACACTCATCACCTGCACCTCTATCATTCCTAAATTGGTGGAAGAAGGCAAAGCTGATCTTATAATAGACACACTACGAACATATAATCTCCTGCCTTATGTGGATAAAGAAGCTCTGGTTAGTATTAAATTTAATTTCCTAGTGTTTTGAATGTTCTTAATAATATTTTTAAAATTATATTTTATTTATGTTTTCAGTTACAGTGCAGAATTGTATATAGCTAACATAGACCTTTTTATTGGCTATCATACTAGTTTAACACACAACTTCTTGAAGAGTTTGAATGACATTTTGGTCCATCTAATATTCCTGTCCAGGATGGCAGAAAATGCATAATTTTATTGACAATTTGTGTGTAAGTTTTGAGTTATTGCCATGTGAGATTATGGTATTTTCTTTGTGATTATCATTAACCCTTAACCCTTTGAGGGTCCGTGCCGTAGATCTACGGCTATAAGTTGAGGGTCCAAACCGTAGATCTACGCCATGAGCTCAGCTCGCTCTGATAAGCTGTGAGCAGTAAATTTGGGCCTAGATATGAGAGAATACATCTATGTGGTATGTGTGCACCACATAAAACAAATCCTGCAGCACACAGTGCATAATGAGAGAAAAAACTGAGACTGTAATTTTCGATTAAAACAGCGACTTTGCAGTGTTTTTTCGTATGTTTTTTATAGTTGTATTCACCATTTCCTGGTCTCAGTTGATAGAATGGAAGATATATTACAGAAATTGAGATGATTTTGATTGGTTTTGCTAACGGAAATGGGTTGCAACTGAGCTCAAAATAGCAGAAATGTTAAATTTTTGCTGATGTTCAAGAGTAAACAAATGATCCCACACGTCTAATACACGGCAGCTGGTGGGTCTAATATACGTTCACAAATGTGGTAATGTTATTTATACAATTATTACAGTGTTGCATAACAGTAAATCTTTTGTTTGAATAAAAATTCATTATGTGAATAAAAAATCAAAATGGAATTCATTTGTAAAGCCTGAAAATGTAACTAATGAACAGAGGAAATGTTAGTTTAGTGCCAGGAATGTCTGCATTGTTTATTCTGGACCCTATTTTGAAATTAGAATATTTTGAACTTTACATTAAATTGGCCAAATTACCAATTTCGGATCACTTTATTTTGTAGTTGAAACAGTTGACTTGGCAATTTCTTGTGCTCAGTCGATAGAATAGTGAGATAGCTAAGAATTTGGCTGACTGGAGTAATATAATTGGTCAAAAATGGGAGTCAAAGTCAGCAAAATCACCGATGTGTGCAAATCGCTGACACATCAAAATTTGCGAGAGCATAATTTCGTCAATTTTCCATAAAATTTCGTACTTTTTGTTTTATTGCCTTCAGGAAATGATTCTCTACCATTTCATAAGAAAAAATAACAAAATTATTTTTTGAAAATTCTTGGACACTGGTGTGCACTTTGAAATTTGACCTTTGGATCCTGAAAGGGTTAAACTGTCCAAACGTAGATCTATGTTCACGTGCGTAGCGCTCCGACCTTGATTTTCCCCATTTGAAAGCATATAAAAAAAAAAGTAGATCAATGTTCGGAGCCTGCCGCACATCAACATATATCTACGTTTGGACAGTTCAAGGGTTAACCCTTTCAGGGTCCAAGGCCCAAATCTGGAGTCACGCACCAGTGTCCAAGAATTTTAAAAAAAAAAATTTGTTATTTTTTCTTATGAAATCGTAGAGAATCTTTTTGTGAAGGTAATAAAACAAAAAGTACGAAATTTGGTGGAAAATTGACGAAATTATGCTCTCGCGAATTTTGATGTGTCAGCGATATTTACGAATAGGCGATTTTGCCGACTTTGACTCCCATTTAAGGCCAATTACATTATTCCAATCAACCAAATTCTTAGCTATTTCACTAGTATTACTTCTATTCTATCGATTGAGCACAAGAAATCGCCAAGTCAACTGCTTCAACTACAAAATAAAAGTGATCGGAAATTGTTAATTTGGCCAATTTAACACAAAGTTCAAAATATTCCAATTTCAAAATAGGGTCCAGAATGAACAATGTAAGCATTCCTGGCACTAAATTAACATTTCCTCTGTTCATTAGTTATGTTTTGAGGCTTTACAAATAAATTCCATTTTGATTTTTTATTTACATAATGAATTTTTATTCACACCAAAAAATAGAAGATTTACTGTTATGCAATACTGTAATAATTGTATAAATATCATCACCATATTTGTGAATGTATATAGACCCACCAGCTGACGTGTATAGACGTGTGAGGTCGTTTGTTTACTCTTGAATATCGGCAAAAATTTAACATTTCCGCTACTTTGAGCTCAGTTTCAAGCCATTTCCAATGCTAAAACCAATCAAAATCATCTCTATTTCTGTAATATGTCTTCCATTCTATCAAATGAGACCAAGAAATCGCAAATACAACTATAAAAAACATACGAAAAAACACTGCAAAGTTGCTGTTTTAATCGAAAAATCATGATTTCATTTTTTTTCTCTCATTATACACAGTGTGCTGCAGGATCTGTTTTATGTGGTGCACACATACCACATAGATGTATTCTCTCATATCTAGGCCCAAATGTACCACTCACAGTTTATCAGAGTGAGCTGAGCTCATGGCGTAGATCTACGGTTTGGACCCTGAACGTAAAGCCGTAGATCTACGGGACGGACCCTGAAAGGGTTAATATTAGGCCAAGTTACAAAGATCAGTTAGTAGACCTAAAATTAAGTACCATGAAGTACGTCAGCTGCCAGGGAGCTAGTTGACTTAACCCTTAAACTGTCCAAACGTAGATCTACGTTCACGTGCGTAGCGCTCCAACCTTTATTTTCTCCATTTGAAAGCACGTAAAAAAAACAAATCTACGTTCAGAGTGCTGCGCACGTCAATGTAGATCTACGTTTGGACACTTTCAGGGTTAATGAATGAGGTACACACATCAAATCCATAATCATTTCTTAAATGGTGCACAATACCAACAGGCTGATAAATTTGACATATGCAACACCTGGGTGTCTTTATTTTAAAGGTACTTAGGTATTGCACATGTCTAATTCATCAACTTGTTGGCATTGTTTACCAATAATGCAGTGATACTTGTGTGACACAGCAACACCATGGAGTCTTGGTACAGAGGATAACCTTTTCAATCTGTTTGTTAACCTGTGGTTCAACTCTTGGGCATGACCTACTTCCACTAGTTGGCCCCACCCACCTGTGACAGTGTCTTTAACTAATGTGCCTCATATAACTCCAGTGTATGAGTGCCCATCTTCTTTCCTATGCTGCAGGATTCATCAAGACTGAGGTACTGAACACTTCGAAGGCTGATGGACTGATTGCCTCATCAATGACTATCTGCCATATAATATCTTTGTAAAACATCTTCAAAATTATGATAACCAGGAGTTGCACTTGCCTGTAATTCATCAAATCTGTAAAGCCAACAAGCTGTCTTGATTAATTGCTTATGTTAATTGTGTGAAATAGTCTTGGAGTCTTGTTTAATAGTGTAACCTAGAGACCCACTCTTGTATTACAGTAACATGGACTTGGTCAGTTTTTGGGGGTTAGAGTTGTTGCCCATTCCTTATCAATTTCATTGTCCCAATTTCAGAACTGATGCTTAAATTTATGTATCATATATTGTTGTTGTTGGTCACCTGAGAGTAAAGTTATGACTATGCCGACCACTATGGGTGGTGGGGGGATAGAGGTTGTGAAGGAGAGGGGGAGGAGGTGTTATAGGGTACTTGAGGAGGTTGAAGGCTGACAGCTGATGTTCTGTCTCTTCACTGTGTGGACCTGTGTTGTATTTGTGTTTTGTTTTAGTACAGTGTTTTGTTTTACTAGAGGTGTGGTTAGTGTGATGATGGCCACTCAAGGCTGTGGTAACTGTTTGGGCATTGTATGTTACACCTGTGGTGAATTTATCATTAAGATAAATTCACCACAAGTCACTAAAGCTTACTAAGCACACATTATAGTGAAAGTTGGAGACCAGAACAAATCATGGGTTCCCCATAAAATCTGTTTTGTTTGTGATGAGGAACAAAGGCACTGGATGAAAAGTGTGACAAAGTTACTTTGGTGTTCCAGCGATATGGAGGGAAGCAAAGTCACATTGGTGACTGCTACTTTTGCTCCTGTAATGTACAGGGATACATCACAAAATAATATAAAAAAAGGGATTTTTGTATTCAAACCTTCCATCTACCTTACGACCTGTTGTTCATAGACTAAATATCCCAGCGCTAACATCACCTGAAAACCTAGAAAATACTTCTCTAAGTTCTGCTCAGGTTTTAGGTTTAAGATTTAAATAAAAATTATTATCTCTTGGTACATCATTCTCTTGGTTGGAATTGGAATAAAGATTTTTTTCTGTATTTCACTCAAGAATGTGATTTGGCTTACATCACAGGTTTTATTGTTTTAATAGAAAAATATGGTGAAGTATAATATTGATGAGTGGAGAGACTTCATCGATTCCTCTGAAAGAAGTGTTATGGCAGTTCTAAAGAATGGTAACACATGTTCTTCTGTTCCTGTGGGTTGTTCTGTTATGAAAATCTGGAGCTTGTTCTAAAAATAGATAAACTTCAAAGACCACAGTTGGATGGTTTGTGGGAACTTAAAAGTACTTTGTATGTTGCTTGGACAGCAATTGAGATACACAGTTTCTGTGTATCCCTGTTGTTACGATATGGAGTGTATAACATTGGGTTACTGATCCTTGATGGGGTATCACTTGGTAGGTTGGCCATTGTCTAGGGGGAACTCCATAGCACAAGGTTTTTGTGCTGCAAATATGGCCTTTTTAAAAGGGCTTTCTTTGTTAACCTTCTTTCTGTAGGATGGCCAAAACTTAAGTAAAATCCGTGTCTTTAATAATAAAACTTACGTAGGATCTTCATATACCTATGAACTATATCTTAATTAAAATAGAGCAATAAAATTACTTATCTTTTTCCTTTATACATGAAAGATAATGCTGTATATGTACAGCTATTGTTACGACAAAAGTTTACTGGCAAAACAATTCCCAGTACTAGAGTTAGGCAATTAATCTGTTGCAGGAAGTAATTATCCAGACAAG